GGTGATTGTATTGCTGGTCTAGTTCACAATGACAGAGCGTAAATCTGCTTGAGTAGGTGGAAGGAATTTATGTATGTAGAGGGACATAAAGGAGAGAATATTCAGGAACCCTAAGTATTAGGTCTGTATTATCTTATACATGGCATTGGTTATTCCTCAAATTCATGTTTTTTCTGAAATTCCACAATTTTATTGTAAAACCTTTCAATTGAGAGTCAACTTGGAATGGAGGTGGTAGTATATCTTCAGAGAAAAAGTCTTGCAGGATTTATGATTGTCATATGAAATGATTACCCACAATCTTTCTTGGCCTTTGTCAAAATTATGAAGGTTTAAAATGGCTGGTAAAGTTGAAGTAATTTTATATTCAGAAGTACTGAAACAGACTGACCACCTCCATTAGCTGTGCCATTAGAAGCATCCAGACTTCTGTATGTTTGAAGCAACCTCCTGCTTTTTTTTAAAAATTGCTTTCTCCTTCATCAGAACAAGTGTGCATTTTTGATTCACTGAACAATGTGTTGTAGAGCTTCTCTACTACACCCTAGAAAACATTTGCAGCAATTGAATTTTTAGACTAACTGTAAATTCATTTATGTAATAAATGTTACAAAATGCTTACTGGGGATGTTCAGCAGTTTTTCCTTTGATTACTTCAGAATAGATAAACAGCATTTCATGTTAAAAAATACAATATTGGCTGATGCACAAGAACTTGTTCTTGTGTAATTTTGCATCATATTTCATAGTTGGGACAAATTTTTAAACATCATCTGAATCTATGTAATAAAGAATTTTGTGCTGCTTTCTTTCAGGCTGTCAGAGCAAAGGTTGCTGTAATTTTCAAGTGTGTATGTATTTTATGTTTTTCCATAATTCTATCTTTTCCCCCCTCTTCTTTCATTAAGAAATTATGTTTTGCATGTGTAACTGATTGTGCATACTTTTGTTCATCAGTGCTTTGAAAAATTCTAAGAGCTTGATTTTTGTCATTTTGGATTTTATTCTAAGTGAAATCTCATGTTTTTCTCCCCTTTTTAAACTTCTTTTTAAACAGTATAATCAACAGTGATATGGAAATGCACTATGCAATGTCATATTTTAGGCAGTTATACAGGATTGAACTGTAATTAATTGCTGTCGCTGAATACACTGTGGTCCTTATTCTCTTTTCGTACCCAAGCTTTTCTTTGTGTGTAATAATTCCATCCAGGAAGAAATCTAATTACTAAGATAATTAACACCTTATCAGCAAATGGAGTTCAGACATTTGTAGAGTTTATGAATTTTTAAATTTGTAATTTCCTTTTAACTGAATGACAACTGGTGTTATGGAGAAAAAGAGCATATTTTATTGTATCTATCTTGATTGGACCTTATAATTCATGTTGCTATAGAAACAACCAAGCCTTTATAAAGGATGGTGTTACTACTACCATTGGTAATAAATGCTTTGACTGTTGCCAATAGTGTCATTAAAATGGTTAAAATAACTTCATTACAATGGTTTTGTCAAATGTAATGAACGTTCTGTTCACATTCTGAGAAATGGCAGCTGATGTTAGGTGGTATTGATTTATAAAGTAATGTACTCTTACTTCCATGAGCTTACTATTGCTGCACAAGATATTTGCAATATGAACAAAATCATGTTGCAGAATACACTGCTGCTCTGTTCCCTTGGTCCTTAAAGCTAATGAATTTTGCTGTTACTTGACATCAAGCTGAATTTCATATCTTGATGTTTGTCAGGCTTAAGAAAGCAATGGTAACTGAGGCTGTTTAGCCAACAGCTCTGGGGATTTCTGCTGTTCTGTACAATATTCAGCTTGTGTTTCCCACTTATGGTTATTGGACGAAGTCCTTGAAAATGTTCCGGTTTATAGTGGTTTTGATTTGTCATTCAAATGCCATCTTTTAACTCAAATGATGGAGTCTGAATTCATAAGCTCACAAAGGAATTGATAGAATTTGGTTTCTTTGGTGAGGATTTTTCATAAGGAAAAGGTGGGAGAAGATTCTAATAATATAATGTCTAATAAATTCCTGTGCTGCTACCTATATATGCAGACACAGAAGGAGAACAAGACATTTGCTTTAATGTAAGCTCTTTGCCAATACTTAAACAACAACAACAAAAAATTTTTTTTAAGTCACAAAATGAATTTACTGCCATATGCTGTTTGTATGAAGGCCACTGTGGTGAATATAAGCTATGCTCTAATGTTGCACCCAATCAAATTAATAAGAACAATATTCTTTGCTTTCCTTGTCATGGGTCTTTTGCCAAAAAATTCTCCTTTTCCAGTAGAACCCATTGTTTCAGGAAGTTTAGTTTCTTCACCCACAATAAACCACAGCATTATTTTATTTTATGCAGATGTAATGTCTAATAAGAAATGATAGTTCTCTTTGACTATTCAAATGCTTTTTATATGTCATTTGGATTCCATGCATTAATATTTACAGTTCTGCATTCTCTTGTCCTGATGAGAGGCAGAGAAGCCTTCCACCCATTTCTTTATGTTGGAGACCCCTACTTAAGCTCAGGTGTGAGCTTTACTTGTGGCAGTTGTCTTTATGCCATTCACATCTGGAAGAATCTCTCTCAGCTGGTCTCTTGCCTGTAGCCTGTGTAAGAAATGTAGAATTGTTTAGGTTGGAATGAACCTCTGGAGGACATCTCATCAATTGCTCCCACTTGAAACAGGGCCAGTTTTAAGTCAGATACCACCAATATCTTTATAGGGTTCTTACTTTTCCTCATAAATCATATTTTCTTCAGTTTATCATTGTTACTGACAATGTAGGAGCGACTCTGCGTTGTGGAAACAGTCTCTTCTCTGTCACTAGGGAGCACTGAGCACTTCTGAGCACTAAACATTTTTGCCTCTCTGCAGAAGAGATTTGCCATTATTCTCACTCTGCACAAGCAGGCCAAAACCAAAACAGTGCTGTGGCTTCACAGTTTCTCCCAACTCATTGGTTATCCAGCTGACTAGTGTCAGATTTGGAAAACTGGGTTGATATCTCCTGGGCCCTCTAGAGTACTCTGTAAATACAATGCAGTAATCTCTTGGTTGTAGATCTAATTTTTTTAGGGCCATGTCACAGAAACACAGAAGGACTGAGGTTGGCAGGGACCTCTGGAGGTCTTTTTGTCCAACTCTCCAGCTCAAGCAGGGCCACCTAGAGCCACCTATGCGGGACAATCACCAGACAACTTTTGAATATCTCCAAGGAGGGAGGCTCCATGTCTGCCCGGGGTAACATGTGCCAGTGCTTAGTCATCCTCAGTAAAAACATGTTTCCTGATGAGGAGCACACCACTTGAACCCCCACGCCCTTGAGTATTATCTCTCCACCCAGAGCTCTGTAGTCATTTTTAATACTGTCCAGGTTTCTACGCACAGGACCTTTTGTGCCCACATGAAATAACAACAGGGAATAGTAGCCTAAGGGCCAGATGGGCCCCAGAGCATCCTGGATCCTGGCCCCAACAGACAGCAAACCTCTCTAGATGGTTGGTTGGGCTAACAGATGTGTGCCTGTGTGTGCCACAGCAGGGAGTCATTCATTATGATGACTTGATGCTTCTTCATAGTAGACTTGTGTGGTTTAGGAATTAGGTAGACCAGATACTTTGCTTGTCGGCACTTCTGTCTCCACTTCAGCTTTGAGAAAAATAAACATTATATTGCAGTTGTAAGCCCTTAGGTTGGTCAAGATCCTTCATCTTGGTGTCAGAGGTCACCAGATTCCATTCTTCCCCTTCTTCAGGCCTCTTGCTTCCCTTGGAGGTGGGATTTGACACTACCTGCTTCTCTGCTGCAGAATTAGGGGCTGAGGCTCTTCAGACTCTTGCGTTGCAGAGAATCAGACAATCGCTAGGGTTGAAAAAGGCCTCTTAAGGTCATCAAGTCCAACCACTACCCTAGCACTCCCATCTCCTTTCCGTCACCTCTGATGCTGCACAGGCTCCTCTAACTCCTCCATTTGAGGGCACAGGTCCTCCAAAACAGCACAGCTCCTGTAGGACAGGGGACATTAGAGAGAACCCCCAGGGATTTCCTGCAGCCTGGAACTTGAAGGGCTGCATCCACCATCTAAAGCTCAGTCTGGGTGTAAGCTTTGACCCTAGCTAGCAGGGATGCCTGCTTCAGTATCTGCTGGTGAAAGTGCTCAGTGATGTGTTACCACTGTGTCCTAGACTTGAGTTACCGTGACACAGTATAAACTGAGGCCCACTTGCTTCACCCCCTTCTGTGCATCCTGCAGCACTACCTGCTGTGTCTGTTGGCTGCCTCTGTTAGCTGTGCTCTCTTAAGCTGTTGTGTGTAAGGGTTCTGCATATTCAGTCTAAGGGAAACAGTTAGGAAATGTTGACCTTGCTAAATAACAAGAGAACTCAGTGTCTGCATTTGTGAACTTAAGTATTTTGGTTTCATTTTAAGGCCAGGCATAGGCTGATTATAGAGTACTGAGTTATAAATTATGACTAAGAGATGTCTTACTGGCTTCTAAGCCAATTTTGTTCAAATTTGCTAGGTTATATGGCATGCCAGTTCCCTCTTTTGGATATTGTTTTCTACTTTGATAGCAGCGTTATAAAACGTTAAATAGTTGACATTTTCTAGTGGCTCTCAAAAGTCATAAACTTTATGGATTAAGCAATCAGAATTCAAGAAATAACAAGCTCTGCTGATCACCTCTAATTTTGAATGAAGGAAGAGTTGATCCAGATGTTTTCACTCTTCTGTCACAATCCTAATCCAATATTTGCTGCAATATTTTTCCTCTATTCCATGTGCTCTCAGCTGAGTACCAAATGCATTTTTCATTGCCCAGCAATAGTGTTAAAATCTGTTTGTTTTTTCCAAAGATCATTTTAGGTCTCACTTTCTGTGGATGAAGAGTGATGAGTCTATGTCCACTAGCTTCTAAGAGAGCAAGACTTTTACATGTCCTTTGTTAAGCATTCCTTTCTACTTTCTTTTCAGAGTGCCTGGAATAACAATTGCTACAGACATCATTTGTGGTTTTCCAGGAGAAACAGATGAAGACTTTCAAGAAACAATGAAACTTGTAGAACAGTACAGGTTTCCGAGCTTGTTCATTAATCAGTTTTACCCACGCCCAGGAACCCCAGCTGCAAAAATGCCTCAAGTTCCAGCTGCAGTGGTAAGATCCATTTTCTTGGTCCGCTGTACACGGTGTACTCAGCTGCCTTTAATACATAAAGCACGTACATGAAAATGTAGGTTTTCCGCAGAATATGCTGCAGTTCAATTAAATGTTTTTATTCAGTCCAGTAATGATATTTGAATTGCCGTTAGGTGTCAGCTAGATCACTGAGTTTCACATAAAAATGACTGTTTAGATTGTTAGGAAGTGTAAAACAGTGGTTCTGCTGAAAGTATTGTCTGCTTTCTATCAAGTTTGGGGTGAATGAGTACCAAGAGTAGTAGCTGGCTGATTACAGATATTTATTTTTTTTTGTTTTAAGACTTCTTTGACTCCAGAAATCTCAAGCTTATTGTGAATAATTTTGCAAAGTATTAATAATAGAGCAGTGATAGGCTCTGATTTATTTGTCAAATACCAGTTTTGCAGGCCTCTTCTTCTTGAGACTCTCCTTAAACACTGCTTATAAACTTTACTTCCTTCAGCCTGCATATTAAAGGCCATTAATAAACTTGCATTTAATCTTCCATTTTTCAAATGTTCCCTTTCTCACTGTCTCACTTCCCCACTTTACCTCTTTCTCTCACTCCTCTCTCTTCCCCTGTCTTTTCCCCTTTCTTTTTTTCTTTTTCTCCTCTCTTTCCTCTCTTTCTCCTTCCTTCCTTCCTTCCTTCCTACACTTCCTTTTGACACTTCCTGACTGCCAACATTCTCATCTTAAATTCCCATGAGGAAAACAGCCTGTTTTGCTATAGAAGGTAGATGGCTATTGACTGTGTTTTGCTTGATATAAATAGCTATTTATCAGCAATAATAATAGCAATTGTATCCGAAGGCATGGTTTGATGTATTTCAAAAAAATTGAACTTGTTATTTTTGTAATCAGAATCTCAAAACAAGACAATATACAAGACTGATGCTTGTAATAATTCAGCTCATTATTATCTCATTATTATGGGCATACATAACATTTATATTTCCTTTCAGTGTAAGAATGAAAGTCAGCCAGCAATATAAATCAATTTAAATAGAAACCTGTTCCTTTCAATTTATGTGTCCTGGCATGACGTCAAACCAATATATCGGAACTTGTATCCCTTTGATTATACATCAGGAAGCTAAACAAAATATTTTTGCTTACTCTCAATACATATTAGGAATTCCATAGGATGTGTCAGCTGCTGGAGACATAAAATGAGATTTTATTTGCCTTCTTCAGTTTATTGTTCAGAGAAGTACTACTTAAGCAATGACTGTGGCATTATTTTTGTTAGTTTTGAATGCTTTTTCATAAACTTTGGTAGATGAAAAAATCAGAAATGTAATGTTTTTAAGTTAGAAAGCTTAAAAATCATAACATTGATTTATGTTTCTGTTTTACATTCCTTAATTCACAAATTCTTAAGCACACTATTTTCACTGGAGGTGCAAAGAGCTTAAGTTGATTTACCCTCTGCTGTTTAACTGGATGCTATGTGAAGACAGTATGTGAAGAGCTAAATTATTAAAAGAACATTAGCTGTTCTGTGGTTGGAAGTATTACTTGGAAAATGGTAATTGTCAATTTAACCCAGTTTTACATTCTTTCTTCTTATTTGTAGCACTAGTACTTATTGCTTTCAGTGAATTAGAACCTTCAAAGGAGATAGGGCCTCTAATCCAGGGCTGATGAAAATCTGTAATTAATAGATTTTGTTTCTCTTTTTTCTCTTTTTCCCCTGTAGTCCTTCAAAAATCCTGTGTTATGAGATCCTTTGTTCTTTTATCTCTTAGTAGAAATGGAGAGTAACTAGTCAAACAGAGCAGGAAGAGCTTGTGATAATCTCTTATGTTTTATATTCACATTACTTGTAGACAGCAGCTGATGGCCTTTCCTGCATTACCAAGAATGGAGAGGCATTTAATTTGTCATTCCTTGCCTAGAGTAACTTCTGTATATTTTTCTGCTAGGAAATCAAAGTAGCAGATGGCCATCCATGTTATGCATGCTTACCCCTTCATCCTTTAATAAAATATTACCTATGTTAATGAATTTATTTTGTTGCAGTTGCATAGGGAAAGCAATAGCAGGCAGAGTGACACGCAGCTGGTCCGTGCCAGCGTCCGAGTGTACGTCTGGTACATTGTATCACCAGTCTGAACTTGCGAGCTGATGCTTTTACAGGATGTTTGTAACATTATCCTCGGCACTGAATCTGTTGGTAGGATCTCTATAGGAAAAGGATTTTGACTGTATTATTTAACTATTGATGTTGAACCAGCGAGCAAGTTGTTGGTCAATTGTTATTCTTGTCTATTTGGGCTTTTTCCCCCTAAAGACTGCTTATGTTTGCTGTGTTGTTTCAGTTTTGCAGTACTTCTGCAATGAATAGATCTGTTGCTTTTTGCAAACTGCTCCACTGTGTTCTACTTCTCCAGCTCTGGTTCAAGGCAGCTTTAGTGATTCTGCCCAAGTATCACAGCTGCAATAATAACATATTTGCATGTCACTTCCTTTTAGGTTAGCTTTTTTTCTGAAGTCCTTATGACTTCTAGGGATAGTCTGTAGAATATTAAGCATAGTAATATTTAGTACTTTCAAATTTTTAGTGGATAGTTTTGATGGAGATCTTAAATGTAATTGCCTTTTTGGAGAAAATCCTCATTTGAGTTTATCTTAGTAGAAAAAAAAATCGGTAGGTCAACATGGAATCGTCCCTTCACATAGATAATTTATCTTTGAAAGCCTTACAGGCACTGGTATTTTTCTAAAAGGGCAGATGACACTAATCCAGATGGACGGTTCTGCCACCATAAATTCAGAAAAGACAGTTAAGGCTGCAGGCCTTTCTTTTTTCTCCTGGAGAAAAAATGTCCATGGAGAATCAGACATCTGTCTAAATGGTGCCATCTTTTCATAGCCATCAATTAGATTATGCTTACCATAAATACTGTCTCCAGTTTAAAGAAAAGTTAGAGCAAAGCTAGGCACAATTTATATTTTTAATAAGCAGTTTTAGGGATGCTGAGTCATGCACAAGGAAAATGAGTCAAGATGTTCAGAACTTTAATGCTACTCCAATTTTTTTTTATTGCCTTTGCCTCCATTTTATCCACCTGCTGCTAAGTACATTGTTTCAGAGGTGAGTCTAGTTGCTTGTTGTGTCCAGTGGACTGTCAGTAGAAAATTCTCACTCTGATGTGTGTTAGTGATGAAATGCTATATTTCTGCTGTTACTATTATTATATATCTGAATTTCTCCATTTCCTTGCTGCATTTAATTATAAAGTGATAGTGCTGATAATTGCATAACAGTCTAAGATAATATGAGTTAGATGTGTCTGGTAGGTAATTCATATTTAGCTGCACACAGGATCAGACTACCTTAATTCTAAGTGTGAAAAATCACTCTTTTTCTCTAAAATTAAGGATCTGTAACACTTTATGTTCTTGATAATTTTAATTTCTCTGTTCTTTATATTTTCAAGGTAGCTATTATTCATGTGGGGATTTACAAGAATACTTTTGTCTCTGTCACAATTTTTGAAACATTGGGGGAGATTGTCATCTCAGGATCAACTTGACTTTTGTCACTTGGAAATTACATAACTAAATAATCATTTTGAAAATAAGGACCATAGTAAAGTACAATTAGGTTCATCTCTACTTAGAATAGGAGATAGCAGCTGTTTTGAGAGCAGTAGTGTGACTGCAGTTTCATGATTACACTGCCATTAATTGCAGTGTGGATTCTAATCTTTCTGTATGTATTTTTGATAGTGTAAGGAATTCAGTTTCAATTACTGGTGTAACTATTAGATTTTTTAAAAAAAGCATTGTGATATCTAGATAAAAGACTATGTATGCACTTTCTCTTTCCTTCTCACTTTCTGTATATCATCAGATAATTACCTTGCTCCCAGCTAGAAAATTTTATGTCAGTCAGCTATGGAATGTTTCCTTTAATTCCTCTGAAGTGTCTCATTAAATTTTTTTCCCTGTATTAGTTGTCTTAAGCACTGTGCTTACTATACTGAGGTGAATAACCTAGTGACAGACTCCATAACTGTCCTGGTTTTGGCTTGGATAGAGTTAATTTTCTTCCTAGTAGCTGGTATGGTACTGCATTTTGTATTTAATATGAGAATCGTGTTGATAGCACAGATATTTCTAGTTGTTTTTAGGTAGTGTTTATACTAAGTCAAGGACTTTATAGCTTCTCATGGTCTGCCAGCAAGATGGCTGTAGGGGCACAAGAAGCTGGGAGGGGACACAGCTGGGACAGTTGATCCAAACTGGCCAAAGGGATACTCTCTACCATGTGGCATCATGCTCAACATGCAAAGCTGGTCAGGTGCAGCTGCCTGGGAGCTGGCTGGGCATCAGTCAGTGAGTGGTGAGCAGTTGCACTATACATCACGTGTTTTTGTGCATTCTAATTCTTTTTGTTATTGTTGTTGTTATTTCTTTTCTGTCCAATTAAAATGTCTATATCTTAACCCATGAGTTTTCTCAATTTTACTTTTCCAATTCTCTATACCATCCTGCTGAGTGGGGATGGGGAGCAGTGAGTGAGCAGCTCTGTGTGGTGCTTAGTTGTCAGCTGGGCTTAAACCACAGCAGTCCTTTTTGGCACCCAATATGGGGCCTCTTCAACAGACATCACTTCCTCCTCTGGCATTATTCTGACATCTTTTCCTTTTGGCCAGTCCATTATCACTTCCAAGATTCCTGGATGACTGGGGTTTTCTATTCAAGTCCTTTGTGTGATCAGTGCACCCACTTACTCCCTATAGCATCAGTTCATGGTGTGTGGAGGAGGCCTTCCCTTTGAACATCCAGCTAAATGCTGCTAGCTGGGGTGCTAAGTGGAGCTGTGCTTCAGTACCAATCACTTTCAAAACAGCTCAAATGCCTGCCAGTATCTCTTTTTTTAGCTGGAGTATAGTGGGCTTCAGATCCTCAGTATCCCTGATCCAGAACCCTAGGACCTGACCTCAAGTCTCCCCCAGTGCTTTCTGCCTGAGGCTCCAGGTATGACCATTCTCCCCAGTGGCAGTGTAGAGCACACCTTTTACATCTTGCCCTGTCTGGACTGGCCTAAGGGCTACTGCATGCATGGTCCCCTTGTTCAAAGCTAGTTGTTGCTTAGGGCCACGTTTGAAATTGTTCTTCTTCCAGGTCACTTGATATAGAGGGCTGACAATCAGACTGTAATCTGGAATATCACCAGAGAAGGATACTGTTGTTGTAATTTTCTTCTTTTGGGGACCCATTAAACTGTCTTTGTCTCAGCCTATGAGTTTCCTCACTTTTACTCTTCCAATTGTCCATCCCACTGTGAGGAGTGAGTGAGTGAGTGGCTGTGTGGTGTTTCTCTTTTATGGTGTATAGTGGGGAGTTACTAAATTCCTTCAGTACATGAAGAGAATGACAGGGTTGCTGTGGCCATGGTGGAAAAAGTGTCTGAAAGTTTCTACCCAGTCTCTGAAAGCTCAGCTCTCAGCAGCCTTCATCCCAAGCAGGATGCCCTAGGCGAGCTGTTACTTTTCATTCAAGGATGACCAAGATTCTGTTTTTTCTCCATAGGAACATACCATGTCCATCCAACCACACTGCACGTGGTTTGCCCCTCTGCCATTCATCTACCCCATAATATTGTGTTCAAGCAAAAATTCTCCTGAATCTAAAACTTTAACCATCTGTATACTGGGCATTTTATCTGTTTAATGTGCTTTAACCTCAGATGGCAACTAACCACCACATAGGCACTTGCTAACTCTTCTTCGATAGTATGGGGGAGAGAATTGGAAGAGTTAGAAAACCAGCACACTGTTAATATACTCGTCATTATTAGGAAAAAAAAAAAGATGCCTGTTCAAACATTGTATCCCCCTCAATTTAATTAAGCCATCACTTAGATCTGTTACTATATTTACCAATTGTAGGAGCAGTACATAGTGCACTAAGAGATTTTTTTTTCTATAACAATTGTTTAATTCAATATACACCTTCTCGGTGTTGTCTGCCAAACAAGTTGTATTTGACCATTTCTGTGAGAGCAAACCAACAGCTTTGTATCGTATGCCTTTATCTGTGATAGCTAATTATTTTTATTAGATTGCTTTGCTTTTGCTTCCATTTAGGACATCTCCAAGAAGTTTCAAGGAGTTTTCATAACTGAGTGGCTGCAGATTCACCTCTCTCTCTTTGATTAAAATCTGCGAGGCACTAGAAATTGGTATTCTTGGGGACCAGCAGATATAATAAGATGTTTAATTCCTCGTTTGCTGGATGGATATAGGTTTTACAGTTTTGAATCTGCACACAAACAGCTGAATCTTCTGTGATAGCTCATGTGGTCTTTGTCATTTTTTAACTCCACACAGCAGGCCAGCAAATGGAATAGCATTTCTTGTGCAAGGGACACCTTTTGCTGTATTCACAGCTCTAAAGGAAAGGGAGCACAGCTGGCCTTTGTAGGTGTTCCATCAAAGAAAAGGCTAGTAAGCTCCCCCCTGAGCAGACAGTAAGGAGAGATGACAATTGAGGACTGCTCTTGCCTTTGAGCATATGCTTCAGACGTTAGTGGGTAGTGATGTGGCACAATGTGCCTAGGGAAGCCAGGGTTGGAGCTAAGGCAAGGAAAGAATTCATCTGCTGTCTGGGATAGACTTAGAAATAACTTGATATGGTTTCATGTACTCTCTGATATGTGAGAGAACCAATTGCAGTGCTAAGTATTTGCAGGTGAGGGAGTGCAGCTTTGGGTGGTGTTGACTAGTTAATGTGATTTAAATGTCCAGAAAGGAAAGAACCATCCCATTTCTAATGCCCACAGGCATATGTGCTGATTTTGGGGCAGAGCTAACTTTCTCCACAGTGGCTAGTATGGAGTTATATTTTGAATTTGTGCTGAATACAGGGCTGATAATATGGAGCAGTGCCCAGACAGAGCCAAGGCCTTTTCTGCTTCCCATACTGCCACGCTGGCAAGGAAGTTGGGGATGCATGGGAGTTTGGGAGGAGACACAGCCAGGACAGGTGACCCAAACTGACCAAAGGGATATTCCATACCATGTGACATCATGCTCAGTATATAAAGCAGGAGGAAAGGGGGGCATTTGGAGTGATGGCG